AGTCCCCCATATTTCATATGAAAATGCATTCCAAAATTTTTCTCCTTATTTGTAAAAGAAAATAAATCAACAAGATCTAAAGAAATCGAGCTAATGATTTATAGGTTGCAATATATGAAATGATTTGGCATTGGTAAGCTTTTCTGAAATTTATGTTGGGATCTTATTGTGCAGCACACTCTAGTTTAAAAAGTTAATTTCGTGCCCCCATCCGGAGGGGGTTGAGGTTAAAGGGGAAGGGTAATGCAAGCTTCTCAATTTCAAACCAGTGGAGAAAATTAATAACAGATCCAGAAGTCTTGCCACAAAAACACAACCAGATGAGCTTTGTTACATAAACAGGGCCAACGCCACGAATTTGAAAGTGGGGGGGGGGGGGCAAGGCTGGTAAAAGAAGTGGGCCAAGGCTTCTTTCCCACTTTTACTGCGACTTTAGAACTACTTTCTTCTCAAAAACTGTTCAGCCCACCCCCCTCCCCCCCCCCAGTGGCATGGGCCCTGACTTTCTGTTTTAAATGCAGTTTTAAATTCTTCTTACGTGACACTTTTGAAGTAGTCAGGGCTCTCTTTCTAACACTGTGAATGTCACGACATGTATTTTTAAACCCACTGCTCTGTTCAAAAACTGGCCAGCCCACCCCCCAGCCCCCCGGTGGCATGGGTCCTGCCTTTCTGTTTTAAATGCAGTTTTAAATTCTTCTTACGTGACACTTTTGAAGTAGTCAGGGCTCTCTTTCTAACACTGTGAATGTCACGACTTGTATTTTCAAACCCACTGCTCTGTTCAAAAACTGGCCAGCCCACCCCCCCAGCCCCCCCTCCCCGGTGGCATGGGCCCTGCCTTTCTGTTTTAAATGCAGTTTTAAATTCTTCTTACGTGACACTTTTGAAGTAGTCAGGGCTCTCTTTCTAACACTGTGAATGTCACGACTTGTATTTTTAAACCCTCTGCTCTGTTCAAAAACTGGCCAGCCCACCCCCCAGCCCCCCCCGGTGGCATGGGCCCTGCCTTTCTGTTTTAAATGCAGTTTTAAATTCTTCTTACGTGACACTTTTGAAGTAGTCAGTGCTCTCTTTCTAACACTGTGAATGTCACGAATTGTATTTTTAAACCCACTGCTCTGTAATACCTTCGCTCACCTCTCTCCTCGTCGCCAGCGTAATTGATGTTGATTTGTTACGTCAAAGAGGCAACATCAGGCACGCGCAGTCAAAGCTGTTGATGACAAAATGACTTTTTCTTTCGAGCCACATTGTACTACTTTTTACATTCCACGGCAAAAATTTTAAAAATTGCCCTCGCTAAAAGTTTTGGACACTTCTCTTAAGTTCTCCTGCTATATGTTACGAGAGACGGTGAATTACGGCCAATTTTAGCACTTTGGGGTTTAATAAAATATTTGATCTATTGATAATATAATTTTTATTATTCACGACCATTACCACATATTTTCATATTTACATCATGGATGTGCTCCTCCGCAATACCACGTGTGATGTTATAAATGGTGGTTGGTCGAAATGTGTCTCTTGCCCCCGAGGTCACGCGTGCTTTTCTGCATTGTTGACAAACATACAGCCGAATACTCTATTATCATTCGCAACCTCTAGCAGGATAGGGATTAATTATTCACAAAATGCTTTTTATTTAAAATTCAATAAAACTGCCTGGAAGTGTCTGCAGGATTGACAACGGCAAGCCACATGTCTCCAACTGGAATAATCATCCATAGCCCCGAGCAAGCTGTATGAATAAATAATGATTCTGTTTGCAGTTTTGCAGTATTTCCCCAGTGCTAGGATTTCTTCTGCATTTAATACATCTGCAAACTTGTCATAGCTTGGCAGCAAATTCTCCGATCCATTCTAAATTCTCAATTTTCTCCAGACAGAACAGTGATCTCAAATAAGATCAAGGTAAGTTCAAGAACAGTTTTTACTTATTTTTGAAAAAAAATTTCTGATCATTACTTTTTAAGTTGTTACCAGGTTTTTCAAGGCAAGCTGGAAATGCCATATTTGCTTATCAGGCTTTTTAAATGAAGAAGACTGGTCGAAAATATGCAGTTTTATATGAAAAATAACTCTGCATGCTATTCCCTACAAAGCAAGATTTTTAATTTGCCAATCTTGATTTCACATTATTTTTTCCTTGTATACTTGGTGTAGGGAAATACTTGGGACTTCTGTATTTTGAAAATAATCCAATCTACAAAAATGCATGTAAAGTTAAAAATGATTTGTAATTCCATAAACTTCCTTGCATCACAATTTTACATCCAATGCATCCATTTTTGTTTCTTATTCTATATATATGTGTCGACCTTGTCTGTAGATTTTAAGTTAGTTTCATGAAAAATAGCCAAAGGGATGCTGGAGCAACATCCAACAAGCGGAAATCGAACTATGTTCTGTGGGATTTTATCTGTGAGTTCTGTGGATTATTGATCGCTAACTTTCACTGTTTAGTATGTTGTTTAGAAACGTTTCTGTCGGCGAGTTAAAGATTTCCGTACCGAATTAATGTCATATGCAGCAAAGAACTCAATTGAACTACAAGCAAAAAGTCTCAAGTTATGTGGAAGGAATTTACATTTAGATAGGGAAACTGAGAAATATGTAGCTCCAAATCATTAAATTTAAAAAACGAGCAGTGCAATTTGTTTCCAAAAAAAATAATATTTAAATTCATAATGGAATAATCTTTTACTCTGTGGATTAAAATTGAATCTACATATATTTTAGAGCTTTTTGGTGGTTTGTATAATCTAAAAGAATTCCACTTTTTAAAAATTTACATAAAAATGTCAGCATGTAGCTATATATTTTTGCTTGCCAATGGTTCAATGCTTGATGGCATGATTCCAATGAAAATTCACGACAATAAATTTCACGGAAGCAATACCTGAGCTAGTGCAAACAGATTTGTAGTTGTCTTGTCTGTTTGATTTTAGATTCCATCCTAAAGAACTTTTTAGTAATGGAAACTTCCGGGATAGAACAAAGCCTCTGTTTGCATTAAAAATCTATTTCTTAAGTTGCTGTACAGGTTCGAAATATTACAATGCAAACGCCCTGTGTGATTTGGACCTTAGGTTTATGACGTCATTTCAGAGTTAGATCCCAAACCCTTGTCAAATATCACTCATAAACTTGAGAAAATTTGTCAGAGAAAGTTTGGCACAAGTGATATTTATCATTTGCAAAAGGAAGCATGCTTTACTAAAACTTTGCTGCTTGTTATGCTGGTTTGCAAAGGTTACGTGTCACATTCATTTAATGGTTGCAAAAACGATTCTTACTCCAGTTTTGTAACATGTTGCAAGTAAAGATTCATGGGGTCTAAAATTTTTTCAAACCTTTTCAGGGGTAAAAATCCGGTTGACACATTGCACGAACCCCTGGAAGTACTATCTTTGTCTCCAGCCTTCAAAGACAATCCTTTGTTTTAATCTGGTATATGGCAGTAATTAGGATTAGTAGTAAATGAAATTTGTTAAATTACATTTAAGTTTCATAATAAAACCCTTGTTTTGCTGCATGCTATCGTTTTCACATCTCGTAAACACCACTTTTATCAATTTCCTCCATCTTCTAAGAGGAGAATCCATTTGTCCTCTCCAATCTCTCTTTAGCAGAAGGGAGTGGTGAGACTGTGGGATTATTTTGTGGTCAAAAGCTGCCCAAAAACTAACCTAGTATGATTATACATTTGAGATTAAGATCTTAATGACTTCTTGAAGATGACAAAGATTTTATAGGAATCAATTCCGTAGACCAGAACAGAACAGAATGACATGATCAGTTGCTTGTGAGTCTAGGATGACCCTGCTCAAGTGATTTATCTTTTGTATTAGGATAAGAATATTAGGAAACTTATCTAGCTAAACAATATTAGGAACTATGGCGGGCGTAACATAGGGGCGGGCTACAAGGCTGTAGGTCTCCATCCAGTTATTCTGTACACGTCTAGCAATGAAAATAATTATCCCACATTTTCAATCAAAGTGCTTTAGCAGATTTTGTTGTGTTTAAAGGTTGATTATGGTATTTTACACATTTTTTGCCACGCTCGTGTTTTTTATTGCTACCAGAAACAATAAGAAAAACAAGAAACTTAAGTAATCAAAGAAATTGAAGTACTCATTGTTAAGAAACTGCAGCTCGAGTTTTCAAACAACAAGTGTACCCTTTTTCGAAAAATCTACATAATAAACTCTCTTCTGGGACTATTTGTCTGGAAAGAACCCAGAGAATAGGCCCAGGCTGTTTGGAAACTCTTCGATTTTTCTATAGGAAATAAAAGCCGTTTTCTTTCTTGTGGAGATCAGAAAATCCTTTCTGTATTGTGAATCAAAAATTATTTTCATGAACCGACCACATTACGTGATACTTTGTTTTCCCGCCATCCTAGACTTTAAACTTTGAAAACTGAAGAATGGAAACATTGTTCGAAGTTTCTTTGTTAGGGTTTATGTGTCTCAAACATTTTTTTTAGGAATACTTTTTATAAGTTATTGATTTTTTATAAAGCTCAGAATCCTCCAATTTTGATAATATTTTAAGCATATTGCTCAGCATAAATTCGCATATTTGTGTCTTGTTTTTAACCAGTTGCTTGTTTGGCGAAATTCATAACAGGGGATCACAGAACTTACATATATCGTTTTTCAAAAAGGGTAGTTTTTATTCAAGCGGGCGATTCCCCCTAAAATCCTTTAAGATTTAAAATCATGTCATTTGGGCCGTATGAGGTTTTAAAAAATACAAGAATACTTTAAAAATACATTCACAAAACAAACACGTTTTAAGAGTATCGAGGCTGGAAAAATTTATAGAACTCGTATAAAAAAGAATATAGGATAACAGTAGGACATTTTGACTACTTTTGATCAAGTTCCCATTAAACTGTTTTTCACAATGATTGACACATTGTACGCTGAATATGCAAGCCCGCTGCTCTATTCTCCAATTTTGGAGTGTCTTTGAGAGGCTTTTAACCCTTTATATCCCAGTGACTGATATATCAGTCACTTAGATTATCAGCGATCCCAGGGTCAGCGGATGATTTTTAGCCTCTCTTTTGTAATTAAAACAAACCTTGTATCCCTGTGGTACAATTCCATGCCTTTTAGGCCCTCTTTTAGCGATAGTTTATCCATGTATAAGTTGATAGCCTCTTCGTCGAAAAATGTTGTACTAGGCCAAAATGGCGGATCAAAAGAAAAGGTATACAGTCGAGGAATGCCTACAGATTTTAGACGATAACTTCGATATACCAGGAGAAGGCTTCGAATCTGATATTGAAGATGTTGATGACGATGATTTTGAGTCCCTTGAACCAGGCATGACTGGTTCTCTACGTAATACAACTGGAAATACTTTTCAGTTCCAAAATCTAGATGAAGAAGAAGATGAAGGACCTGACAGAGTTTCCAAAATGGATATTGATTTTAATGATTCGTATGTTGAAGTGCAAGGAAATTCTCCTTCTTCAAATCATGGACGACCTGCCAATGTTTCCCTTGCCAACAAAGAATGGGAACAAAATGATCCCGGTATCCCAATCCCAAATTTTTCTCAGAAAGAAGGGCCTACGAAAATCTTGCCAGTGAACTCTACTGAGCTTGATTTTTTTCTTTTGCTTGTTGACAACAGGATACTGAATAACATTGTAAAGGAATCAAATATTTATGCGGAACAGTCATTGAAAGCAGCTCATCAAGATGTTTCTAAATGGAATAAAATTGATTTAGCTGAGCTGAAAGCATTTTTAGGCTTGCTGATTGTGATGAGCATTCACAAAGTTCCATGGCTTCGTGACTATTGGTCAGAGAGTTGGGCACTTGGTGTTCCAGCATTTGCTCAAGTAATGCCAAGAAACAGATTTTTTGATATTCTTGGAAGAATTCACTTGGCTAATAATGAAAACATGCCCCAACGTGGTGAGCAAGGATTTGATAAGCTTTACAAGGTTAGAAATTTTCTAGACAGTGTCAGAGCAAATTTTCTTTCAAACTATGATCCATACAGGCAACAGGCAATTGATGAGGCTATGGTTAAGTACAAGGGAAGAACATCATTGAAGCAGTATATGCCAATGAAGCCTATAAAAAGAGGAATAAAAATTTGGTGCAGGGCTGATAGCAGAAATGGCTATCTTTGTGACTTTGATGTATACACCGGTAGACAAGAAACAGGCATTCAGCATGGTCTTGGATACTCTGTAGTTACAAAACTGTGTGAGGCAATAAAAGGTCACTGGTATGCTGTGTTCTTTGACAACTTCTTTACATCGTATAGACTTGTTGAAGATCTCTACTCAAGATATAAAATTCTAAGTGTTGGAACACTTCGCTCAGGTCGTGTTGGCTTCCCTTCCTTTCTATCTGACAAAACATTGGCAAAGTCATTGAAGAGAGGAGAAATGAAGTGGAGCATGAAAGGTCCCATCCTAGCTTTGACATGGATGGATAAAAAGCTTGTGCAGATGACAGGAACTTACACCTCTTGTCCTGGAGATATCCTGCCATTGGTAAAGAAAAAGAAGAAGGATGGTACATTGGAAAATGTACCCTGCCCTGATATTATTAGGGAATATAATGCCTACATGGGTGGAGTAGACAGAAATGACCAAATGAAGTCATATTACACAATTCCCTGTGCTGGTAAGAAGTGGTGGATGAGAATTTTTCTAGACCTTTTAGACCGGGCAATCCATAATTCAAATATACTTTACAATGAATCACCAAATCATTCAAGACAAAGTTTGAAAACATTTCGCATAAATTTGGCTCAATCCCTGATTGGAGACTTCTCTTCAAGAAGAAGGATAGGAAACCCATCGTTTGGGCCATTGGAGAAGCGCTTTGTTGAAAGACATTTTCCTGAAATTGTTCCTCTAAACGAGAAAGGCCGACACAAAGAAAGAAGATGTTATGTATGCTCACATAATGGAAAAAGAAAGCAGGTTATTTACTTTTGCCCAGATTGTGATGTTGGTCTTTGTCCTGCTCCTTGTTTCAAAGACTATCATACAAACTAGTGTTTATGGAGAGGTTCTTGTTTTACTTTTATGAACTGATATTTAAAATGACTTTTTCCAATAATGACCCTGATCTATCATTATCAACTAGTTTTGTGTAAATTAAATTGTTATAATATAATATTTGAAATATAAAGTAACTAAATCAAGAGAGAATATACTCTGCAAAGATAAAAAAGGACATTGAGATAAATTGTAAAGCCTTTTCTACTTATTTTTAAGAATTTCAAGATTTTGCTTTCTATTTACGATGATTGTATTGCAAAATAGTGATCACATCATAATAATATGAAATGACCCTTAATAATAAAAATTAATAAAAAAGTAAAAGTGTGTTCTGTAAGAAGTCATCTTGCAAAGTTTTGATATTATAAATTGCGTAATGAATGAATAAGGACATTTTTTGCTTTTTTCCTATATTCTCCCTTTAGCCCGAACGTTTTCTTGATACCGTGAGAGTAAAAAAAAGAAATATTTTCCTTCATTCAAACCAAAAACTTGCATGTAAGGTCTTATTTTGTTCCCTGATTGTTGCTCTTTCAAATGAAACAGGTTGTTGATTTTTCACTTTACCCTCTAGGCTGTCAGATTACTATGAGTGGAAAGACAAATTTTTTCGAAAAAATTTCCTTATTTTTGTTTCCCCCCCAAATCCTTATACATTAACAAACCACAATTTTTTTTCCAAATTATGTTTTGACTGTTCCTTAGTCGAACACAGATCAAATTACAGCACCATAGCTAAGACCATGACTTTGCAGTGTCATTTTAACCAAACTGTGGTCAAAAACGACAAAATTTGGAAAAATGTATTTGGGACATAAAGGGTTAAGACTGAAATACTGAATGAATCTCTCCATGGCACGATAGCATGTTGGCTTTTAATTAAAAATGGCTGGCTATTTGACGTACTGTTGAGGTTTTGTTGTCAGTGTTGACACTATAAACAGACAAATGGGACATCAGTCATGAATTTCTTAGCCAATGTGACTCAATATACCTTTTAACAGAATACTTTAGTTGAGAAACAAAAGACAGTAACACAGGGTCATTTATGATATTTGAAATTTGAAGACCGTTATACGCCCTTATTTTGCACCCTGCACCAATGCATGGCTTTATTAGCCAATGAAAGAATGGGCAACTTTACCCAAGAGACTATCACAAGGCCTTGAAAATTGTTAAATGCCTAATGGGCAGTGTTTGCACTAGCACAACATGTCTCGGGGTTGCACTCTTTTCAAAAGACCCAGGATAAGGGGAGGGGCAGAAAGATGTCAAGTTATTTAACAAACAGATGCGAAAAAATGAGTTATATATATAATCTTCCAGTTGAGAAATGAGGTTTTTGAAGCAGGGATTCCAGGAATTGTAGTCTCACACTGCCATAATAAGAATAAGTTTTGAGAAGTTCCTCCTTGGAGCTTTTCGTCACCAGCGCGGTTTAAATCATGATCTTGAAGTTTCTCCATAATTGGAATTCTGATACAAAAATAGCCTGTTTCATGATTGTCTGACACATATTGCATAACTTTATTTCAAGCAGATACTTGGCTATTTATATAGACAGATGTTCACTTGCAAAGCGGGTGTATGCAAGCCTGCCTCCTTCTCTTCACTGTTTTATGAAGGCCTTTTGTGAAAATTGATATTCTGAAGATATAGTGGTAGGCGGAGGAACAGGTAATTGTTTCAGGTTGATTGACAACTTAAGTGCACCTAGGCGGAGCATTATCTCTTTATTGTTAAAGAAACCATATCCACGATTGGCTTAAATCTTGACAGATACATAACCTGGAGCTATGTTATCCTAGGGTATCCTTTACCAGGTTTCATTCGATTACAAGTTTACTGGCAAAGGGCAGGCAAAGCCGTCGTTATTACAAGCAGAGCACAACGTTACGTCGCTGCAAATTGCAAACTGAAGCTCACAGGCCTGGTTGGATTTTGCAAGGAAACACAGAAAATGCCCGCTTACACTGTCTGTTCCTGTATATTTATGGCTTTCATCTGGGCTTCGAGGCCTGCAAGGACAATGTCGTTGGATTTGCGGCATATTAAAAGTCAGCTCGATATGAACCAGCAAGACTTTGTCACGGCGAGGTTGCAGCAGAGAATTCTGCAAGGGCAGAAACCGAGGAAGGCTGGATGTTTAGGCTGCCTTGAGATTAAGAAAAACAGCAAGGAATATAAGATTTATCTGGAGTATATTAAAGCTGATATACTTTCAAAACTTGGCATGAAAGATCGACCGAGGACGTCCTTTTCAAACTCTCACATCCCAGCGCCAGTTTATGAGGGAAATCTTTTAAGCACTAACGAATTTGGTGCCACATTCAACAAACTCAACAACCAAATCATCATAATCGGAGAGAAAGGTAATTTTAGAAGCTCTTATTCTATTATAGCGTCTAATCTTACATTTCTTTCGTTTATCTATAAAATGCACCTATTGTTTGCGTAAGTATACAAGTTTCTGAGAACTTCTGTCACAAGATATTCTTTATCGAACTGAAGTCTGACAAAATAAAAAAGAGAAGGCTGGAGAGGTGCCCATGTACAAACATGACATGTAAGATTATCTATGATAAAAAGTTATCTTTCTGTTTTTTAATACTATCTATGAAATTGAATAATTAATGTTGAATTTCACAATATCTTTAAATCATTTAGTGAGACATTGGGATAAGCTTTTTGCCTATCTCAGTAATTTTTGCCAAGTTCCTGTTGTGAAAGCAATTACTTCGATGTGAAATTTTTGTTAAAACAGCTTATCTGTGATCCTGTCTAATCGAATCAATTTCTGGAGTCATGAAACACCAGCAAGCTTGTGGTCGCCAAAATCGACACCCTGTATGTGGAAGTTTTAAATTTTGTCAAACACTGGTTTTCAAAGGAGACCATAAATTACTTGAGTTACCTTTGACAGTTTGTCTTAAATTCTATCATAGTTTCTCTGTGTGGTTTTGAATATGAATTTGTCATGGTCTGTTCTCCTACCGCATTGACATGTGCCAAAATTAGTTGCACCAGCAGATATAGCCAAGCTTTGTCTCTTATAACATGATTGAGCATAACCACCATACACTATTTTTTATAAGAACCATATCAAAAGAATACGGGCCTAAAAATTATTCAAAAGTTGAGAAAAATTAAGAACAAGCCGAGGCTGGGGTACAGTAAAAATGAGATTTTGAATGAGAAAGTTGTGAAATTCCCTTGAAAATTTCCATCTCAAAAACGAGGAGTTTTTTGTCATCTAGGGGTGCTTTGTCGTCGAATTTTCAATCTTTACAGCGAATAAAGGTTGACCCTTTGTTGGTGAAGTCACTGCTTACATGCTTAAAATTCAAAAACGAAATTAAGAAGAATCCAGCCTCAAAAGTTTGGAATAATTAAGAACAACCAGCCTGAATTTCAATTTACTGTTTCTTATAAAAAAGAGTGTAATTAAATATAAGAATATAATTAAATAGATCTTGTATTTTTGGGTGCGCCTCCAGTGTTACCATGTCTGCCTTTTGAGTGCGCAATCACCATGCTTTGCATACATGATGAATTATGATAAACGAAATGATATACAAAATGTAAGATACTTTGATGAAATAAAAGATGTTTTTACGGTGAAAACAATGTACCCGTGCTTTTTTATATAAACCCCTCTCCCTCAAACGTCCTGAAAAGTGCTCAACAACAGTAGTGCTATAGGTTGATTAAGAGTGAATTGATGAGAAAAGTTTTCGGTGAAGAGAAAAGTTTTCGGTGATGATTCGATATCTAATGATATAGGAATGACAGGGCCGCCGGACGCAGGTTTGAACAGAGGGGGGGGGGGGCAAAACGAATAAAAAGGGCACGAATATCTTTTTTCCGAAACATTAGTAAGTGCCAAAAATGGTACAGATTTCATGGTAATTTAGAAATTTATAAGAAAATGACACACGTTGGACAAGGTGAGAATTATCTTCGCTGAAAGTAGACATGGCTATCTACTCCATTTAGAGACCACGCACTCTTGATCATAGCATAGTCAATAGAATTGACAATTGACAAAAGTTTTTCTATTGACTATGATTAAATTAATTGTATAGCTTCCCATGGCCTTCAAAGTTTTTTTGAGAGTGTAAATCTTTCTTCCAAGTATGATTTGTACCTCTATCACAATATGCTTACTTATTTTCCTTATAATTTGCATTGTAAGTGGATTTGGCCCCGGGTAAGAAGCAAGCACACATCCTTCTTTCATACCTGTGGCTGACGAATTATACTCGACTAATGTTCAGATTTATTGCAACATACCAACGAATCTAACCCAAAATATGAACTAAATGGAATTTTTGAATTCCTAGTCTTTATATACTGCAATGCCAATTCCAATCCCTCTCCCTTTCAAAGCAAAGTTTCAGTCTCTATGATTTATTGAAAGCTCGTTCGAATAATCATTTTGATTTTCTTGCTTGTATATTTAAACAATTTAGTCCCCCTTAGTATTTGCGCCTTCCCATCGCCACTTAAACACATAATTTGTTCGCCTCCATGGAATATTTTTTAAATTGCGGGCACATTCCTCACTGCCACAGAAAGTATAATTTGCATCATTGATTAGGTTTATATCATCAGTCTTATGAACGAAATAAGTTTTTAACTCTCTTTAGACTTGATCCCGGCGGGCTCAGTCAATTGGTCACTGTATTGCATCTGATTCCCGAAAAACTCTGAGAAAGGATTGTCTGAAAGCTAGAATTCTGGGACATTGAATCTGCTTTTTTGATCAGTCAAAGGAAACACAAAAGGGCTGGAATTTACTGATATGATGTTACAGATAATTTTTTAGATAAATCGGTGGCATTAAGAAAGTACAACAAGTTTAGCACCTAGTCTTGTATATTGTTCTAATCCTAGATAAGAAATTCAAGTCTTTGTTTAAATCTTTGCTAGCATGTACTCATTGCACAGACACAACTTTTTCATGTCTTTATAAAATACTTTAACACGATGTTGTGAATAAAACAATATGTTGTAGTTATAGTTTTACAGCTGTCCGATCTTGTTGATATATATTAAGAACTATAAGGGTTGTTGCTAGAATCAAATTTAGTGAACTCTGGTTTTTAACTTGCCTAGACATAAGTTTAAGAAAAGGAATGGTTCTAACATGAATTGGTATAAGAATTCCTGCTCAAGCTTGAATATTCTCAGTGAAAAGACTTACACAATTTTGGCAAAGGCACAGAATACGGTACATTTTACTCGACCCAGAATCAGAGAAAGGGGTCCAGTTTCTACTTTCAGGACCACACACGATATACATTGGACCAACTGACTGTGCCCGCCGGGTACTTGATGCGGACCTTTCACTAATGCGTTTGTTGCTGAAAACATACTACGGAAATTTTCTGGCAAAAATAGCAGTCTCCTTCGCAGTTGATATTGTTCATCACAGAAGCTTGAGTTTTTTGCATCAAGGCCAAGTAAAAATTTAAGGAAATTCCAGTGAATGGTCCTCCAACAACGCCCAGAGTTATGTTATTTCATTTAGTTTCTTTAGGCCGAATATCTTGCATTGAAAAATACACGCAATGTTTTAACGAAAAGGGGCACTTGTTTATACTTTTTGCAAATAGGGGGGGCCTGTACCCCCGTGGCCCCCCTGGCTCCGGCGGTCCTGAATGATACATTTGCTTGTGGAAGAAATGCTTTTAATACTGCTATCAGAATACTATTAATATTCCCAGCCTCAATGTTCGTAGGAAATTTTTCGTTTTGAGCCTGAATACATTCTTATTATTTAGTATGGTTTCAGGGAGCATCGCCCGCTCTCAAATAGAAACCTCACTTTTTTAAAGGACAAGATATGTCAGTTTTACGATTCTCTGTTCTGAACATCGCCAAACAGGCAACTGCTGAAAAATAAGACAGAAATCTGCGATCTGAGGCTAGGCAATATTCTAATAATGTTCGTAAAATTGAATGTTTACGGCGCCACTCAAGGCCCGGGCCGTGGATTTTATTGTCGTCCCTTCCCCCTATAGTGACGCTCTTATCAATGGTATTAGGGGCATCCAACAATTGACAAATTCTATCTTACTGAATGAGTAACACATAGCCAACCAGATTGTTAAATGCTTTGAATGTAGATTTGATGTGTGAGAGTTCGACGAAAGCCTACAATAACCATTCCCTCCCTAAAAAACAATTTCCTGAATGGTTTTACTGTTGAAATACGCGTACAGTACGACTTAATTTAGAAAATAAAGACACCATAAAAACTTGCTTTTTAAGTTTTGTTATCTAACAGAGCACTTCTTAAACTAAATATATTTAATTTCTAAAGCTGTCTTGATATCTTCGTCGAGCAAAGATACCATCTGCTTCATACTTTACCCATTGCCATGACTTTTGATAATTTTATGATTGGTCGTGCGATATACTATCCAAGCTAGTCACTTTGTATTCTGCAGTTATAAATTGAACTGGATAAGACACCTTTTGATACAAGAAAGAACTTCTTTAGAAAAAGCAGTTCACAACTGAATCCGATTTAGAATTGTGATTATTCCTCCAGTGGTGGTAATAGAGTGATGAAAACCTGGGTAGTGTGCCTAAGCAGACCCAAGACCATTAAGTTCGAAGCTAAAATACTAAAGACCAAAATGCAAAGAGAATTTGTGTGAATATCTTGATAAGTGTGTATGGTTCCTTGTTAAACTTTTACAAATATCAGTTGCATGCATTTCATAATAGATCTAATATAAGAAGCGAAGCATCAAAATTTATAGCAATGCTATTGCAAATCCATTATGTTCAACATTTTTGAGAGGTTACATTGTTTAAAAGGTGGCTCGTGTCTCTGTGAAAAGGAAATGAGCTCCAGACCAGGTTGAGTCAATGCCAGATTCGTAATACGGTATCAGACCAGATCAGCATCCTATAATTAGAGCCTTTAATGTACACGAAAGCTTTGTAGGTAGTGGCAACCTGCTTTAGTTCCGAAGGAAGACATGTGCTGATTTACCAACTGTCACAGTACTGTGCTCTTTTACAGAGTTATGGGCATTGTATGAACCACATCCTAATTTAATGAGGGTTAAAATTGCAAAGAGTGGTCCATTAGCAATTTTTGTCCCTATTTCATGGTTGTTGGAGCCAGGGATTCCAGAGTCATGTGGCCACAGACTTTGTTGAAATGCTGCTTTTTGTAAAGGTTCCCTGTGAAGAACGTTTAAGAAAGTGTCCGTTTTTCTGAGTGATTGTGCCTCTACCTATACCCCTTCTACCTTTGCAACTCCCTACCTGTGCCCCTTCAATTTTGAAATGCTTCTTATGCTCCTGATAGCCCTCTCTGACTTAAATAGCGGCGCTACGGGGAGAGGAGGCGCGTCTCCCCAGTTATAAGCAGGAAAAATTGGTATTTCGTCCAAATTCTATGAGAAAATGTTGGGGTATGAATAATATTTTGGAAACGTACATTTTGTTATGCAAATCTATGATTTTGAAACTGTCTTTACATAACCAAAAGTTATTAATGAGCGTTTTTTCAGGTAAAATTTGCATTCCTTGTTTGTAAAAGGGCGTTGGGTTAATTAGGCATGGCCTAAAGTATTTTGTTCCCCCATTCCTTCCTCTTCATAGCCTAGTAGGTGCCGCCACCACTGTCTGATATGGAGAATTGTGGGCTATTTGGAAGCTGTGTATGATAATAACTATAAGCAAATTCTCCGATACATAAAGCAAATATAATACCGCTTTTAAGCCATGGATAGAACAAGCCTCCACGAGTCTTACTGGATTTTTTATCCCACAATTCCCAGTGCTTCTTCTATATCGACAATTTCAAATCTTGTGATATGTTTTTTTGAAACTTTTGCAGATGATTTTGATAGAAAGATTTAAGATTTATTTTCAAATATACAAATCTGTTAATGCATTTTTCTTAGGGCATGAAACGGGTATGCGAGTGAAAAATTATCCAGAAATCACACGGGCCAGAAATGGCCTGTCAGAACCGATGGGAGTTTTCTATAGATAAAGGAATGTCTACGTTCGTTAAAAAATCTTTCGTAACACTTTTATGGCGCCATCGTGTTTTAGATAGGATAAATTCACTCTTGCAGCAGTCAAGCTTGAAATCACGTTTTATGTTATATAGAATTACAATGGATGAAGTGACATGATATGTAGAAACCACAATGGAACTGAAAAAGCTGAAACCAACACCGGCTGAAACTAATAGGCAACGAGTGCCAGACTTCTTGTCACGGATAAATTTCATGGTTTTCGCAACCATATTCTATTGATCTTTTTGGTGAAATCGAGAAAGAGGACCTCGACGCACTTTTTACATTACACAAGGTGTCAAAGTCTGGTTTTGATCTTAATAGGAATGTTGATGATTATTATTATTATAATGGTTCTTGTTTCAATTTTGGAATATAATGTTGGTTGTTGGTGATGATTATGATGGGTACTTCGATGATGATACGTTTGTGACAACATTTGTGACAATGGCAATGTTTGTCACAATGATTATAATAAGAATGATAAGTGCTGTTGCTAGGCGATGTTTACGATTACATGACTGCGGCTATGATTGCGATTAATGATAACAATTACTGGTTAGACTGCGATAACGGTAGCGATGATTATCTCTGTCAAGTTGATATAATCGTACTGCTAGTTCGTAGTCAGCCTAGCTGAATGCATCTCAGGGCTGCTACACTGGGTTTATCTACGTGATATCGTTCTTTTTGAATTTTTAGGAGGTAGTTGCTGTCAGTTCATGTCATGCAAAAAAACTGATAATAGGCCTAAACTATTTACAATGTCTCAAATTATCAAAAAAATTTTTTTAAATAACTATTGTTAGTGCAATAAGATGATGAATAAGGTTAAAAGTAAGTAAGAATCTTGATGATATTTCTTACTTTTATTATGATAAGAATTGTTTGAATTATTTGTCTCTAATTGTGATATCAATTTCAACCACACTTTCAGCTGACAAAGCAACGTGTCCAGAACAAGACTGTTTCTTCTTCAAATTCAAGAAAAAGGCATTTATGAAAGCTGGCTCCGTCAGTTCCCTTCAGATCTGGATTTATAAGTTAGAAGACAAACATACAGCCAAGGCTGAGAATCGATTAAAAATATCAGTGGCGAAAGTGATTCGGGAAGGTGTTGAATCTACAGAAGGACCAGAAAAGAAGAAGCTTCTTATCAGTATGATGCATGAGGGAGATGCAGGATGGATGGGTAGGACGAATTTCTGCCTTCATTTTTATCATAAGCACGTGATTATCGTAGTCAACATCATAAGAATCAGCAGAATCATTCTTCATCCGTCCTTCTCATTGCAAAAATTATATCATTGTGGTCATTAATCATAATCACATCAATCGTCTTCGTGATCATCAATCATAATCGTAGATTGATTGATGATGACGAATGACATCATCGTGATCATCATCGTTATATCATCAATTATCATGAGTATCTTAATCGCAATCTAATCAATCGTCTTCGTAATCAACAATCATAATTGGAAATTGATTGATGATCATGAATGACATCATCTTTATCATCAACCATCATCGTTATAATCATCAAGCATCATGAGTTTCTTAATCACAATCAGCATCAATTGTCTTTGTGATTATCAATCATAATCGTAGTCTTCACCATAACATTAACAGTCATCGTCATATTCATCAATCATTTTTCTCAATCGTCTTCACCAGAATGATATTGATAATCAGATGCCAGGTAAATTTAACCAGATAAACAATAACGACAACAACATTCGATAGTATACAAACTTGTTTTAATCTCAATAGTCCGGAAATTCTTACAACCTTTTCCCCTGTTGCCTTATACAGTATATTTTAGTTAGTTTAACTATAGATGACAGGTAGTTTTGTCATCGGAAAAGGGGAAACGAGAAGTGAAAAATTATTTGGGTAGCTGTTTTAAAAGCGGAATATTGATATTAAAGGAATGTGTTGTATGATAGTCATTTGGAAGAGGTTTACAGATTATGTAACTTTTTCAAGTCTTGTGGAAAACTGAGATGGAAATTGCCGTTTTTTGTATTCGACAAAGGGGAATCCCGGTGATTGAAAGAAAGCCGAAAGCAATCCCAAAGACTTGGATATCAAATTTTTTCTTATCAAATTTCACTAACCAGTCAGTTTTTCTGGGAAATGTTGGTTTAAATGCTTTTTGCGAAAGCCGGAAGAATATTATGAACTAGAAAATTGCTGTTAACAAGGAAATTCTAAAAAGTTTTATTTGTTTTGAATCGTCTCTAATTTTTCCATTTAATGCCATATGGTAGATAGGCCTATACTGCAATATATAATTTTTGGTTTTTTTATCAAAATACCATTTTTTCTCTAATAGTCAAGAATACCGCTTTCAATAGTAAAAACTTACAAACAGTGCCATTTGCCAATTTTTTTTGTGTTTAACAATAACGAAATACTTCATTGGAGATATGAATTTTCGAGATATAAATTGAGTTCTGTTTTCGTACTATCTGAACTCAAAATCTTCTGGTACCTGTATTCTTGTACTTAATATAAATTTCCATAATTGCCAGTAGCGGCCTCATATACTCTGTACATTCTTTTTCACATATTCCGTACATTTTTTTACATCTATCTTAATTTCCTGTTTGTCTCTTCGATTCCTTGCACTATTCCCTGGCCAATTCTTTGTGGCTGTTTGAAGACCCAAAAATGTTTAATTCAAAATTTGTCAGTAATAGGATGCAGTGGGTTTGCCCGGAGGTGGGGTAACTACAATAGGCAGAGTTCGGGGTCTTTTCTGCTAAAAACGATATCTAAAGTTTAGGTTCATGCTAAAATTAATCCCAAAATTTATGATCATTTTTTAGTTTTGCAAAATCGATACCCCAAAATTTATTTTCTACTGGAAAAAGGTACCCCAAAAATAGCACATCCCGTACCAGTGTATATGGAAGTTTCGTGGGTATGAATTTCAGCAATGATAGCATAGTTCTTGCCCCCACAAATGCATAAGTATATTGTGTGTCCATAATCTATGTCTCAACTTGACAATTCAAGTTTCTAATGGTTAATACTTCATGTACCCTTGCATTATAGGTATGGACAGCGCACACACGAAAGACTGGGTAGCGAGGCTAGATCCTCATTCAAGAGACATTGATCTCTACTTGACCTTGAAGTGTGACGGGTGCATCGTTGCACGCAAAGGCAACAAAAGACCCTTCATCGTGATTAACGTGGAAAACGAAGTAAAGAAACGAAAACGAAGGCTAACTACTTGTCAACCCAAGATGCAAGGCTGCTGTCGTGAATCGTTGTATGTTAACTTCACAGAAATCGGTTGGCATGACTGGATTGTCCACCCTAAAGGCTATGATGCAAACTACTGTAGAGGCACATGTCGCACTCTTTCTGTGCCAATCTACGGATATGTCACCGTTATCCAACGAGTTAAACGAGACAAGAAGATTTGCTGCTCTCCAAAAAGCTTTTCACCGTTGACCATACTTTATAAAAACGATAACATCATTTACAAAAAGGAGCTGCAGGATATGACTGTCGAGGAGTGTGGTTGCTCTTAGTGCGTTTCTGTGCAATCCCGACTGGCTTATTGAGCCTCCCCGAAGGCGCCATGACTGGCTCATGCGCAATTAGCTGTTAGTGAATTGACAAAAATGCCCACAGAAGAGATCTGGCAAAGATTCGCCATCAAATGTAGCTTGGGATTACGGAGATGGTCCCCTGCCAATTAAAGTTTAGCGATTGTATGTAGTAATGCACGCAGCTGTCTGGTGCATCGCCTTAGTTTTAGAAGATTTTTGACACAGGCCCTTTACGCACAACATTTATACACAAAACAACATCATATCTTTGACAAACACCCGCATGTAGGTGGGTCGAACGTATATAATTGTTTCAGTATTGCAGATGTGTTTATTCGCGTAAACATCTTGCTCCATTCCCTTTCGATGGATGATTGGAATCTGTCCTGTCTTTCATTACTGTTCATGCACTAGCAAATATTACAGATCAGCGTATTTTCTTGCTGTCCATCATATTTTTAGGCCGTTTTTGCCCTTGAGAAACACAATACTCTAAGTATTTAGATTGGTCTACCTTGAATCAACATTTTCAGAATAATAGTGTTAGTGTGGCACAAGAGGAGCGTTGAAAATTATTTTGTCTGAAATTCGATTGAGTAGTTTTTTTGCCAATTGAATCCAAGCTAACGTCACATAAACAATTTTTGATGGTGAATTCAGCGCTTTGTGTGCAATGGTTCTGTTCAGTTGACATTGGATTAATGTATGGTGTCATCCAAAAATGATATCTCCAATACTGTGGCAATCAGTTTCCAGTTCCCTGCTCCTAAAGTTATATACTGTGGTTTGGTTTGATTGGTAGGCGCCCCCTAAACAGGTCCTTGATACCTTTGCTTCAAGCGCTAAATTCCCCTTCTGGTAGCAAATGCAGCCCCCTTTAAATCTTTATTTCCCTTATTCTGATCAACTGCCTTTGCTACGCCGTGAAAGACGGTAAAATATTTGTGGGGAGAGTCAAGAAAATAAAGGATTTAACTTAAACATATCTTAGTATCGCTAGTATCGTTATTTGCATCCAGCCAGGGCGTTATTGTATAGATTCATGTGATCTTGACAGTATTTTGTGTCCATCACATAGCAAGTCGTAGTTTAGTTAGTCACATGAGGCTGTGGAGTGTAGTATGTAGTTACTTGTTTTTCCTTATTTCGCAATTCCATTTGACACGTCATAATTCAGCTACTTTTATTTCAATATGGCTAATGTTCCTCCTTCTATATATGTCAACGTTGTAGTTCAGCTTTAGTCTTCCAATGCACTTCAGTTCAAATATCACCGTAGCCAAAAATAAACCAAGAACTTTGCCCTCTTTCAGTTGGTGCAAAGCGGCAGATTAGCCAGCGTTCATACTTACACATCCAACTATCACTTACATTATAATCCGACACTCATCCCATTGCTTTCTCAACAATCGAAAAGTCTGCTGGAATGCCCGCATTAAACTTTTTTTCAGTTGACCCAAATGAGAATTCAAATTAAACCAAAAAATATTACACTGATTCTAATGTTTTGATCCAAACAATGTTGATTATGTGGCGTGCACAAATCATTCTTACTAAGAGACAATGGGAATATTTACAGAAAATTTTTGGGATCCTTACCTTATATTGTATGTTACTCAAACTAAACCTGATTCACAATCTTTTATGACACTCATAATTTTATGACAAACTAACCCTGATTCACATTTTTGGTCTTTTAAGAGCTTGAAAAACAAGGATGACGCAGCAAAATAAGCCAGTACCCAGACTCCATGTGCATAAGAAACTCAAGTTTCTGAAGTTGCATAATTTGAGAAATAATAAGCCTATAGCCTTGATAAAAATTGTCACTTTTTGCCTAGACTTTTGGCTTGAAGGAACAAATTCTTATGATATTGATTATTCCTCGTCTTTTTTATAAGCTCATTCATACAGAACGAAAATGGCCTAACATTAGCGACATTTACACTGATCATCAGTATTTCGTCGGTTTTTCGTATCATTTATTGCAGTTTACTGACGATTATCCTACTGGTTATCCTACGATTATCCTATTTTTGTGTATTTCAAAGAAGCATTGTCAGGATTTCGTTATGACGAAACCACGCCCTGTCTTCCACGATAGCAAAGTGTATTTCGCGAATAAAGTTCAACTTCAATGCCCCTCTCGATCTCTTCAATACGTTTTCACTGTAAAAAACTTGATTTTACAGTCGATCCAACTCGATAATGCTTACGTGGAATACAGGTCTTTTGTGTGGATTTAATTTGAGTTATTTATTAGCTGTTACTCCAGTAATTTTTTGTGTGTTGACTTAAGCTACCAAAGGTAGCTCTTAATGATTATAAGCTTGAGAATAAAAACAACATTTTGTGCATTTTACTCTTGGTTTGTTTTTTTTCATCTTGTTGAATCTCCATTTCCGTTGTTTAATCTTTTCTTGCCATCTTATAAGCGGTGTCTATTCGAAGTAGAGTTGACGAAATAAATATATGTACAAATATTACAAAGACAATAGACAGTGAGATTTTACTGACCAATACCAAATCTGAATTTAGAACTTGGATTATTATTGGTGAATGATTCATTTCCCATAAAGACCCAAAATAATACTTCCTGGAAGTCAAGTGAGCGATGACCTCAATAACTGACTTGAAACTTTCATATGAACGGTCATAAATTGTGAAATACTCTACTTATGATGATCAAAACAGTCAATATTTATTGAGCTTACAAAAACTATTGTAATTAATTGAGCTGATATGTAACTTTCTTTTATTTTGCTGATGTTAGCATTTTTGCTGATGACGTCATCATGTTTTCATCCGCGCTTTCGTTTTGCAGATTGTGTAAAGACGAGCATTGATTTCAAAAGTTTTGACAGGTAATGGTTAGATGCACATCAAAGCATTTTTGTTATGTCAATGTCTTTGTTTCAAATGTTATTTTTTTAAACTATGTGAGTTAGTTCAGGCCTTTCCCGCCACATGTCAATTACAAATGACTGACAAAATTTTAATCTTTTTACTGAATGTTAAATATATAGTTAAAATGTCATATGACATTGTCATAATTACACGGCTTGTTTAAAACCATAAAAAAGGCAAGCACAACCTGTCATCAAAGTGTGAAAAAGTTGACAACCTGGGCACTGTCATACCCAAAAGGTTCCATCAGCTGGTGTATGTAGTGTAAGTCAAGCACAATAGCAAGGTTCGAAACTTTTTTCGTTAATTAGGGAGGTTAGCTGAGAAATATGCCTCAAAACATGGGTATAAGCACATTGTAGGCCACTTTGAATTGGGGGCCCTTAGTCATCGAACTAAGTAAGGTTCCCTTGACATTGTTACGTCTCTGTCGTACACAATCGGAACTGAAGGCACACCAGTTCTGTTATCGTACTATCGATTCTTTATTTATCATATTGAATCTGTTTAAACACTTTTACCTTTTAGTGTTAAATCTTATGTAAATAGTTCCTGTTAAATAACCTAAAAAAAACCCTTAAACATTTCTTAAAATTTACATCGATTTTAATATGAGAATCATGTGTGAACTAGAATTCAGGAATTGATAAAAACATTGGCAGAAACTTTCTTATTTTTGAACAAAGACATAATTTTCGGGCTTTGTTAAAACCTGCACAACAACAAATCCACTGCTAAGATTTATCTCATGGGTGAACAAACTATTGCAAAAAGTATGACACACCATCCTTGTGGCACACCAAAGTTAGTTTCTTTCTGTATGTTCAAAAAACCATGGATTTTGACCCTGTTTTCTATTAGAAAACTTTTTATTCTAATCTTTTTTCATTTGATTCCATTCTTTAAGTTAATGGTTCTCGCTTTCTTGCTTCCTTTAATCATTCACTTTTCTCAATTCATATCAAAAACAAATTTTCCAAGGAGTGGGAGATTCTCTCTGAAAACGAAAGGAAGAATGCAAATTGATTGGTCCATGTTGTTCGCAGTAGAGTTTTATGTGCCATGAAGTGGCAGACACATAGCCACATCACATAGGAACAGACTCTTTCCTCGTCAAATCGCTGTATTCATTTATTAGGACTTTTAACAATGAGAGTGATATTTCATGGTGTTAGCTCAGGCTACTAAGTAAAAATTTTAAATTATATTGGTCATGACGTCACACTTGAGTACCCTGTAATATAAACCAGCCAATAGGTGCCCACGCTCAAATTTGCACCTCCTTTAAACAAACACACATCGACTTAAAACTTTTTTTTAGCAAGTAACTATTCTTCCTTGAATATCCAGGAAATCCACACTTCGGTAATCTAATCGCCATTCATACGTATTCCTTATATTCAAGTTTCAAGTTCTCGCTACAGGAATCTAATTAAAAATAAACGTACCCAAATGAGACACTATGTGGCAAATAATCTTTTAATTTTGCTTTCCATTTTTCAGTGTCAGCAAACGTGTATATGCGTACGTTAGTCGCTATCAGCTCGGGTTACCCCCAGGTTCAATTAAAACGAGAGAAACTCAGTGGTGGCGCCAAGGGGGATATGGGGGGAGGGTAATTAACCCCACTTTTGTCAAAATATGGTCCACATGTTTCTTCTTTAAATAACGTCAGGGTTGATATTCCTTATACTGTTTTGTTTATTTTCGTGAACTTTATCATATTACGTTGTGCTGTAGCTTTTTAATCCTTTCCTGTACCTTCACATCTCTGGTAGCGTAATGGAAGGGCAGAAAGATGACATCTAGAACACTGGTTTTAGTATATTTAAATTTTGACAATGTAGCCTGAAAAACCAAAAATACGGTAGCAGCACTAGGGAGATTTCAGGCATTGAAAAAAGAATTGGTTTACCACCCTACCTCGCCATGTTATTGGCCTAAAACATGTCCTCTCTAACAAACACTTTTCTAAAGCATAGGTATTATACCTTCGTCTCTTCCCAGGGACCACGGAGCTATCATGAATATTAGGGGGGAGGGGTGAAATATTTATGGACTTAAAAACATGCTTAACCAGAGAGCGAAATAATTGAAAGGTTTAAAGGCAATGGACAGATACTGGTTCAATTCAGTTCAGTTTAATTCAATTCATTTAAAAGATACTCAAAATTGGCAAACAACACACGTATATTTTTTATGAGACACTAAGGTCTGGGGCTGTTTCTTGATTTTCAGTTTTTTAAATAATGATCGTTGTTAAACGTTCTTCCAATGTATTAACAAACTCCCATCAGGGATCTCAAGTGTAGCGTTGCAGCATGTAGTGATGTGAAATATCAAAACTGTTAACAGTGACTGCGAAAATTAAAACCTTGAAATCACTTAAAGGGCCTCTCCAGCCAAATTTTGCACTTGCATTTTATTGGCTACTCTAAAGAAGTTGAGCCTGCTGATCACGATATCGTTATTTGTTTTACGATATTTTTTACAGTTTATGAGATATAAGCTCTTGCATTTCGATAACTGAATTGAATTAACCGACAAAAAGTTTTCGGTTTGGTGACACTGTGACGCAATTTTGACGTCACAGTGTATTTCGTTAGTCTCGCCTCAAACCGAATCGAACGACAGCGATTCGCAAATTGAACACTGCAAGCAGGGCCGTAAATCCCGGGGGGGGGACGGGGGGAATGGACCCCCCCAAAAATCTGGAGCAAAACGATTTTTTTGGAGAAATTACCATCATTTTCCTTGAAAGAAAGAAATCCCTGGTAGCCGGATTAGAACCAAACTACGTTTTTCTGTGTTATTGCAACAAACCTCAGCCAATAAGGTTATTTTTGTAAGCAGAGTGGTTTTTATAATTTTTACAAGATAAAAACATACCGTTTTCTACCGTTTTTTACCGTTTTATTTTTGAAAACAAAGTACAAAATAAAAAGAGAGCAATCTGTCATTTTATTTGACCTATTTACTAACTTATTTACGTACATTTCTATTATTTGTCTATTATTTGCTTTCATTCAGTAAATCACTTTTTGTATCATTAAAATGTATTCATTTTTGATGTGTAAACATGGCCTACTGAAAACACTCAAAATAAGGAAGACGCACATTTCTGTTCAGAAAGTAAATTTCTACCAATCAATACAACAGCGTCCCATATTTCCCCAAAGTCTGTCACTAAGGTTTAAGCATGATTCTTCCCCTCCAAAATTTCACCCAATAAACAATAATCTGTGTTCTTCTGAAAAACGCCGTACTTTCTATCCTGAGCGATTCTAGTTTTTTATTAAATTTAGTCTGGGGGATGCCTTTTTAGAAGATAAAATTTCAAAAATTTTCTTCCGCGTCGGACCCAACCATGGTGGGTCCTTCTACGACAGTTAACTTGATTCTTAGCTCCCAAGGTTCAATTTCTAGGGGCCATCTTTGAAAAATGTTATCCATCCGATTATCAACACAAGTCAATGTACTAAGGAATATCTGTAAATACCTTCTATAGAGCAGAAAGTCTTGAGAAATCCAAAAATATTGACTTTTGTTTTAAAGTAATTTGCCCCTCAACTGCTTCCATAAAACATAACACATACCCTTGTGGTGCCATGACCCACTGCATACTTGATATTCATTCGCTCTGCTGACCCCCCCAATTCACATGACAGATTTACGGCCCTGACTGCAAGTGATGGTAATCTCAGTTCTGTTCCACCGGCCTTTAGTTTGAGCATTCCAGATATCAATTCTGAAGCCTTCAGTTGTTCATCGTTTCTGGATAACAACTGAAGTGTCAATTTCGATTAATTATACGCGAGGGAAGAGCCTGGAACAGGAAGCCGTAGCTTTGTGGGCCTACACAGGTGATCAAAACAAAGTCGTGACACAGCATGGACACATTCCGACCCGCAAACTTAGAATGATTGTAAACATTTAGTATTTTTCGATCCTAAAAAGCTCCTGCTGTAGATTTAGATGCAATTATCAACGCGTGACCATGACTCCTTCACGATTCGGTGGAAGATATACGAAATTCATGGCGAACGAGAGCCGCACACTGTGACGTCAGAATGTCACCAATCTGATTCGGCTTTTGTCGTTTTTTTCTCTCGGAAAGGTGCGACTTTAAAGCCTTATAACTTCTAAACTAATTGGAATTTCGCAAAAACAACGACTTTGCCATAATACACGCACCAGATGCTAACTTTTTAGTCAATAAAAAAAATTTTTTTTGGCTGGAGAGGCCCTTTACGTTTTTTGGCTTCTTAAGCCCTGTCCACACTACACAAACTAACCTGCTTTGTCCACACTTGATTTTCATGTTTTGTAATGTGGACACAAAGTCGGGGCGAACCCAGGTTAGCTGACGCTACGCATGCGTAGTTAAATTACAACAACAACAAAACAATGACAACAAAACAAATTTTCCACAAACACGATCAAGATGGAAGTTGC